ATAATGTTTTCCAAATTACAGATCACAGGCATTATTCCATGTGACTCTAACAAATAACAACCTAGCAGACAGGCAACTACATAAAGTATTTTTATAAAGGAACCACAATTTGAAGGTTAAGCTTATAGGCTCTGAAGCCAGAACAAATGGATATGGATCCCATATCTCTTTGCTTCCTGATTGTTTCACCACGTACCTCTGTGAGGTACAAAAAGAATCTTCACAAATAAGAATCTTCACTTCATCAACTTGTAAGGATTAATAATTTGATCCATATAAATTGTTTAGAATGGTATCTGGTATATGAAATGTGTTCAGGAAAATGTGAGCTATTATTTTACAAATGATGACATTGAGGATCAGGGATACAAAATGACTTCTTCAAGAGAAATCAGTGATGAGACCCAACCTCAACCTCAGAACTTCTGCGGCCTTCCATGTCACCAGACAGCATTCCTAAAACACTTCATCTTTAAAGAGCATAAACAGCACACTCTGAAGTAATGAAGACACTGGGGACTCTGACATAGGAGTAGAAGAACATCGAACACTGTTATATGCTCAAGAAATCCCAAATGCCCAGGGCACTTGGGTGGCTCAGTTGGTTAAGCATCCAACTCTTGATTTTGGCTCAGGTCATGATCTCGGGGTCCTGAGGATCCAGCCCCATGTTGGGCTCTGTGCTCAGCAGGGAGTCTACTTGAGATTCTCTCTCTCCCTCTCCCTCTGTCCCTCCCCACCCACGTGCACATGTGCACTCTCTCTCTCTCCCTCCCTCAAAAACAAATAAATAAATCTTTAAAAAAGAAAGGAAGGAAGGAAGGATGAAAGAAAGAAAAGAAAGAAAGAAAGAAAGAAAGACAGAGGAGAATGAGAGAGAAGAGAAGAAATCCCAGCAGCTGGACTGCCTGCTCAAATGCTAAATTTAGGGAAGGCAAAGTCCCCGTAGAACCCCATCAAATAGCCACTTGCGTGGACAGTTCTGAAATAGCTGGTTTGGCTGGAGCAAGAAAAGCTAAGGAACTGCTGCCCTGAACCTAAATAAAGCCTATTTTTGCCATATCCCACACACATGACTTACTGCAGTCAAGAGAACTCCTTGTATTAGTATTACTATTTCTTAAATTTGCTGTGTTTTTCATGTCTCTGGGAAATATTCTGTATCTTATGTCCAATTTCATATCACTGTTCTGTTTATCTTTAAGAATGAGTTGTATTTTTTATTTTCAACTCTTCTGAGAAAACTTCCCTCACTGCCTAGCATGATATAGATGGACCCTCCCCCTCTTTTCTTTTAGGACAGAATCATACTCCATCATAGCACTTGTGAACTACATTACAATCCCTGATTTCCTGGGCTCCATTCCCCACCACACTCAGGATACCATATTTGTGTTGGTATCTACAGTATCTTGCACAGAGCATGAATATTTATTAACTGAAAGAATTAATTAATTCATTAATTAATATATGAAAAAAGAGACAAGAAGACCTCAGAGTCCGAGCATCCAACCATTAGGCACATTATAATTCAACTTGACTTCTGACCAGAGACAGGGAAGATGGAATAAGTAAGTGATGATGAGAAAATGTATGACTTCGTATGTGTTAATGAAGCTCCAAGTTGTTCTTCCTGGATCCAGAGAATTAAAAAAGAAAGAAAATTCCGCCACCGTCTATCTAGCCCGATTTGCATGTGTTCAAATCTTCAAAGTATTCCCTTTGATTCCTTTAATCAATAGCTATTTTAGAAAGCTCTTCATTACTTCCTAATTGTCCAAATTCATTTTCTTCATTTTTCCTTATTAGAGGCAGATTTTTCAAATGAGTTAAGTAGATCAGTAATTCTAGAATCGTTATTAACTTCAAGCACTTCTCTCAGTTATTAGCATGTCCCTTCTCTCTCCAAGACTAGATTATTTTCTCCATTTTTAATAGGCCATCTGGTTCATTTTCTAGACTTTTTCCCTTCCATATATCTCTAATTAAGTCAACATTACCCTATCCTAAGACGAATCCATGTTTACTATAATCCTGATTCTAGAAACTTTATCGTATCTCTGGTTTTGGATGAAGATACAAGTGATTCCTTATTTGTTAACATGTCAAAAAATAAGTAAATAATTAGCATTTATTTAAATTTTAATGCATCCCAACCAAATATGTTTATAAAGTCAGTGCCATGGCCCACAAAACATTTTACAAATAATTTAAATGAATATTTTGATCCTTAAATATATTAAAATTAAAAATACACATATTCTTGACCCTAGCGATCCTAATTCTGGAAGTCTATATCACAGAAATAAAAGCGCCATATTATTGTGCCAAAAACTTGGAAACAAAGTGAATGCTCATCAATAAATGGGTGGTTGAAAATGTATGGTACATCTATACCATGAAATATTACGCAGTTGTTTGTATATGAGTACATGGGCATAGACAAAGATATAAAAGAAGATGTTACTGGGGAGGAGAGAAGCTGGAAGGAAAGAGGGAGAAAAAAAGGAGTAGGTTTAAAAAAAAAAAAAAAAAGCGGGGCATTCATGCCAAACAGTATATAGGATATAATCTCCTTTATGTAAAATTGCATATATGTGTATGAATATTAATAAACATAAAAGAATGAACTGAAAGCAACAGAGCTGCATTTTTACTTTATTGTATATATGGTAATGTTTTATAACTTGCTATGCCTAAAAATTTGAATTAATTTATCATTTGAATTATTATTTATATAATTTAGAAACATTAAAATTACTTTCACTGTGATATATACTATACAGAGAAAGTTTAGTGTCAGTCAGACCAATGATTATGTACTCAAACAACAGAATGCAAATTCAGCTGAATAAGAGATAGTTATAGGCAGTAACACCAGACTACATTCAACCGTTTGATAGGGTATATGTCCTATCAACTATATTCTTTCAAAAAAACATTCTTTTCTGATTTTCATGTTTAATCTACTTCAAGACTCAGTTAACGTCATTCTTAATTGGGGTCTCCATTTGTTTACCCAAATATTTGATTTCCTACGAAGCTTTTAAAATTCCTCTGAGACCCTTTTAAATTTATATACTTTGTAATATCTCATTTTGTTGGATAAATGTGATACCATGTAGGAGACGTCTAAACTCCTACTTCAAGTTGTATATCTCTCAGAATTCATCCTTTCTCTTTTTAAATTCAACAGAGCAGTTCTGCCGTGAGAGAAGAAATGTGTCAAAATCTAAAGATAAACACAATTGGACAATAATGTCAAAAAATGAAATGCAGACTTTGCAAAGGTATTTTGTATGGTTGGTCTCTCATGACTTCCAGAACTTTCTGGTGTATCAATAAACCTGTGAAAAAAAAAATACACTGATTCTGCCTACATTTAAGATAATCCAGTACTCACATCAACCTAAAATTGAAAAATAAAAAAATATATATAACTTGAATTTCAGAAAGGATTTTCATTACTTTGGTATATAAAAGTTAAGAGATTAAAATAATCAAAATATCAAGTACTGATATAGAAAACAAAGAATAAATTAACCCAGGTGTAATTTCTAAGTCATTATCATTACCATATGTCTCTTTAGTTACCTTTCTCCTCAGGGATTTGATGTTTTATAAGATTTGTTCTACCAAAATGAATTAACAAAGTAATAATTAATTTTTAAAATTCTTAATGAATCAATGACATGTGTAATTAGCCCATCACAGCTATTGATCAAAATGAGGAAACCAGCTTTACAGATGTTATTAAAACAATTTCTTTAAAGGAAAATAACTTGTTATCATGGATCAATGTATAATTTTTGTTAGCTTCTGAAAAATGATGAGAATAATTAAAGATATACACCAGACCTCAAAGAATACACTAACCCTTGTTTCAGAATCAAGATTCCATAGTGAAAGAATAAATTGGGGTTGAGAATCAGCTTCACATTAATTCACAAATTCATCAAAAAAAAAAAAAAAAAAAAAAAGAAGAAAAGAAAAAGAAAAAAAAAAACAAAAACAGCCCAGAAAAGAGTATCAGATTAATTTGTAAGAATAGCTTCCAGGTGACCCATGAAAAACGTGAGCCTTAACCTTACGCCAAGAGCAGAGGAGAAAAATGGGCACCAGTGATGAGCTCTCAGCCACCTTCCAATTTCATTCACAAAGATCCAAATAACAGATAAGAAAAGGCAAAAGAATCAGCAAAAGATAATGACCACAATATTTTTGTTAGCTTTTTACACCTATTTCTTTAGCTTCTATAAGATAGGTTTTATTTTGGTTTTTTTTCTTCCCTGAAGAGATAAATGCAGATGCAGTCACATTCTCTGGAGATTAGAATCAGATGATCAAGTCAAAACAAATCCTTTGAAAGCACCCAATCTCATGGCAGATGCAGTAAAAGAGAAATCATTAGCCGTTTCGAAAATTTCCTATACAAGAAATATTTCAAATGCATGTGTTCAAAATTGACAGTTGATAGAGCTCCAGCCTTGAAAATTAGGTTACTAAGTTTTGATACTTTGAGAATCAAGCAAATGTTGGGTTTTTTGTTTTGTTGTGTTTTCAATAAAGGGCACAAAAGTAGCAAATATCACATCACATTGAATTTGTGCTAATCCCCACTTCATCCACAAACCACAGATACCTCACAGAAAAATACTGTACCAGCACTTTCAAACCATTGCGCTGTTAAAGATTTAACATCTGAGGTCAGAATGAGGTTTTCTTATTAAGCTGCCATTTCCTTTACAAAACAGACTATTTTGTACTTACTGCTACCCTTTGAACTCTTATAGTGAATAATTAAAACTAAACTGCAAAGCATATTTTGTGAGGCTGAGTACCCTGTAGGTTGTAGGTTTTTGCTTAGTGGCTCATTTTAAATGCTCACCAGTCTCTGAGGGATAACCCTGCCATTAGTCTGAATCGACAAAATTGGCTGGCCCCTAAAAGCAAAGCAGACAGCTCCAAATCTTAATCAAATAGTCTTGTTGGCGACTCACCATATTGACGGTGGTGGCCTTGGAAACCCTCTGAGCACCGGCACCACTGGTCCTCACTGTCTGAGCACCTCTTTCCACTGAAACATGTCCCCTCTGCAGAGACAGCTAAAACCAGTGTAGACAAGGAGGGTGAGAGAACAAATGGAGTTGAAGGAGAAAAAGAAAATCCTCATCAGTATGTCACTAATGTAAATACAATCTGGAAATTGTATTTCCAGGCAAGATCACACAATGTTTTCATGATAAGGTAAGGCCTTACTGTTTAAAGCCATGTGGGCCTCTGTATGTAGTATCATCCACATCCCCTAGAAGCTTGTACCAATGCAGATTCTCAGACTCTACCCAGACCTACTGAATCAGAATCCACATTTTAACTGGATACTAGGTGATCTGTATTCATTTCCAAGTTTGGGTAGCACTAGGATAAAGAATTACCATGGAGAAGATGACCATGGGACCAAAACAATCTAAAAGTCAAGTGAGGGGGCGCCTGGGTGGCTCAGTGGGTTAACCCTCTGCCTTTGGCTCGGGTCATGATCTCAGGGTCCTGGGATCGAGCCCTGCATGGGGCTCTCTGCTCAGCGGTGAGCCTGCTTCCCCTCTCTCTCTGCCTGCCTCTCTGCCTACTTGTGATCTCTCTCTCTCTCTCTCTCTGTGTCAAATAAATAAATAAAATATTTTTTAAAATAAATAAATAAATAAAGTCAAGTGAGAAATACTAATACTTACCAGAGGCAAAGGACTATGACAGGTGTCATCAACAATATAAGGCAGTCATCTCACAGTCATTAATTTCCAGGAGTTTATAGCATTGTCGAGATGACATTGTGGGCAAATGTTTTCAACTGAGCTTAAACCAGCCAGCTGCAGTGGTCTCACACAGCATGCAAATACACCTGACCCTTGGTGAACCACTCAACACTAAGCCTACTTAACATGGGAAGCCTGCGGCAACTTCACTAAGATATTTCAAGAGCAGGAAGCACGGTGGGGAAGGAAGCAGGATGCCTACAAACTCCCTAGGGTACAGGATAGCAGGAGAGATGAATGGTTGTGCTGTGGTGCTGCATTGATTGCAACACACTGAAGCATTTTAAGTGACTTCACAATAACCATAAACACATAGGGAAGGGAGTAGCTAAACAGAGCCATTTCTCCGGGCATGAATGAACTCTATAATGCCATGAGTGCAGCTGTTTGAGTGCTGTCAAACATACTCCAAAGGTTCTGGAATACCCTCACCAGAGGTTTGCAAAAGGACTGCATACCTCATCTTAAAAAGTAAACTGCCTCCAGAGTTCTGCAATTAATCATGACAAGCACAGGTTGAGAAATCCCATTTAGATTTAGTACAGTGATTTCCCTCCAGACTTTTGAATCAACTGTGGATTACAAATTTGATGATATGGAAAGGGGCAAACAGAAAAGGGAGATAAAAGTCAAGGTGTAACCTGTCTGGCTTTAAATAAACTGTCTTTTAAATAAAGAGACAGAATATAAAGCAACAGTTCTCTGGGTTCTGAGTTCTGACCTATCATTAGGAATGCTTAGCAGAAAAGCTTTTTGTGCATTTTTTGCACATGTCAAATGTGAATTTTCAGTCCAAAGGGTTGTTCTGAATCTGTGGTGATTCTAAAGATGCCTAAAACTTGACAGGCATGGTATGATTGGAGACCAAAACAGGGAAACCATTAGTTCTCATGACAGAGTGTTGAACTGGAAGAATGAGAACTTACAGCGTGGGCAGCCAGGTTCATGGTCCCACCGGCTCCAACCCAGGCAGCACTTATAGATGGGCTGCGTGCTGTATGCTTGTCTGTACACGGTATAGTCCCCAATCCTGTGAAATACAAGAATCGAGCTCAATAATGCTTCCTCTTAAGGCAAAGCTGTTATTTTGAGACCATTAAAACATTTTCCCTCCAACCCAAATCCTACCATTTATACACACACACAAATATATTATTTGTTTATACTATACATGTACACAGACACACTCATCACTCATTACATACCCAACAAGATTATATAACTAAGATTCAGAATCAGTATAGGGTAATGAAAATTAAGAAAGATCCCCATGTCCTGTGGTATAAACTATCCGAAGGGTCACTCAAGCTCTCAAGAATGAAATCCAAAATTATGAAGAGAATAATGAAATCCTGAAGGATAATAAGGTACATGCTTTTCAACTGAACATGGAAGGCTCCTGAGCTATTGGTCCCAGTATAGCACACTTTCTTAGCAGTGGTGACATCACCCATAAGGGGATGAAAATTGGTTCTTGGGTGGGAGGGGTGAAAAAAGATCTTAGCTAATGCAGTGGTTTTGGGTCCTATAAAGGAGCACGGTATACAAACAGATAAAAGTATATCTGTGGTATTAAAACTTCACAGGGGAAGGGGACAATCTCTAAAATTAAAAAAAAAAATAAAATAAAAGAGTTTACAAAAGCTCCTTAAGGAGGCAATAATAAACACAAAGTTGAAAAGATTACACTCTTCAATAATGACCTCTCAATAAACCAACCAAATATCTCTAAACAGGCTAATTTTCGTCCCATCAGATCTATGTCATATATATTCTCTATCCCCAAAGTATTAACCAATTTTCTTCCCTTCACATACCTTTCCTCATATCCCAGCCCAAGGGATCATTATTCAAGGCCAAGTCCAAGTTCCACTCCCTCCACTCTTCCTTTCCCCAATATGACAATGTCTTTCTCCTCTCTCAAAAATGGAACCTATTATATATATCATTTTTTATGACACAACTTTTCACCATCTTGAAGTGTAATCTCATATTTTTATATGTGTGTATCTGCAATAGGGTTATAAGTACAGGTTTGCATACATATATACAAACAAAAGGGATATTAGTTTGGCAAAGATGCCAAAATTCTCTGAACACTGCCTCACCTCCAGACCCAGGGTCATAAGCATTTGCTTAAAAAACAAAAACAAAAACAAAACAAAAACAAAAAAGGAAACTACTATGCTCTTGAGAATAAAAATATAAAACATGTTTTACTTATTCGTGTTTGTATTCCCAAGTCTGAATGTCTATGTGGTGGCAGACTTTCTTTGGTTCAATCTAATATCAACAATGATTAAATCCCATGAGGGAGAACAGAAAATCTAAGTGAAAAGTCATTTTCAAAAACAAGTCCTCCAAGAACAAACATATTGAGTACCTACTGTGTACCAAGCATGGTATCACATATATTAAATATGTTTTCAGTTAATCCTCACAGTTCCATGCATGGTATTATTTTTCTAATTTTACACACTAAGGCCCAAAGAAATGTAAAAAATTTGCCTAGGGCCAAACAGCTAGTAAGAGCCAGGGGAAGTTTTCTGATTTAAACTTGATTTAAATTTCCTGAGTGCAGACCAAAAAAAAAAAAAGGCTATCTATCTGAAGTTTAAACACACACACACACAATATATACATGTCCATATTCACATAGTCTTTTTTTATTTAGTCCGTATTGCCAGTGTTCTGCTATTTCTATACAATGACAAATCCAGTTATTTACAAATGTTCCCAACTTTCCTTGATGATATAATAATAGTGATAGAAATGATGTGATAAATTCATTAACCTAAACCATCTTTTTTAACTTTAAATACATTGAATTCAGACCCGGTTGATTCATTTACATAAAAATTAATCCATGAGCAACTATTTGCATTAAGAGGTACTCAGATGTTTTGTAAAACTATTGTAACACTTTGATTAAAAAAAAAGTCCATATGAAGGCTTGACTCTGAAAGCACTGTACTGGCTTTTTCTCTCTTCTTCCAGCCTGCTGAGTTAATCCTAATTCAAAGGCCATAATAAAGTTAAAGAAGCTCTAGGTTTCAAAGAATTACAGGAGAACCAAGGGAAGGTCAGTGAGTGGTTCACAACCTGAGATGCCCTGGATCCAAGTTGTGCTAAATTTAGCAAACCAACACAATATTCCTTGTTTCTCAGTCTTCTGATCTTCAGCTTTCAACAATCTCTCATGCCATGAGGTAAAATTAGTGGCATCTAACCCAAAATAACTCACACATAAATGAGGCTTAAAGTGAAATAATGATATATCTTGTCTCTGAAAGAAAGTATGTAATAACTCTGAAAGTTCCTGGTGGGTATATCTCATACTCCTTTACTTCATTATATAATTATTTTCTAAAACTTACTGGATGAAAACTTTAGATGCAGTTGAGGCTTAGAATTTTGATTTTTAGTAATCAAAAGGAAATAGTGGAAGCACCCTTACCTTCTTTCATAACCACATATCTTGTGAGGCCAGCAGAGCCCTGCCTCCAGATCCGACAGCGTGCGTGAACACCTGCGCATACAGGTGTGGGAGTTCCACCACATTCCACCGCTGTTCTTCACAAACATTGGCCTTGGGGGGAAAAAAGAGTAGTAATGTGATAAAAGTAGATTGTTTCTCTGTGTATTACACATGAATCATTTATTCCTCCATTTTCCACAAAAGCTGGTGGTGACTGACATAAATACATTAAGTAAGAAAGAAAAATAAAGTCAATATAAAAAAAATTCAGGCCCAGGAAAAAGAATTATCAGAATAAATTTTAAAAACAAGGAGACAGGGATGCCTGGGTGGCACCATGCTTGGTAAACATTTCCTTCAGCTCAGAGGTCACGATCCCAGGGACTTGGGATCGAGTCCCATATCGGACTCTTTGCTCAGCTGGGAGCCTTCTTCTCCCTCTGCTTGCTGCTCCCCCCACATGTGTGTATCTCTCTCTGAGGAATAAATGAATAAAATCTTTTAAAAGATAATAAAAATAAAAATAAGGAGACATTTAGAAGATAAATACCAATATCATGAGTTACCTTATGCTTAGAAATTGTGAATTAAGTTCTGACCTCTTTGGTAGCTAAAATTAAAAAAAGAAACAATTGCATGCTTCTTTTTTTTTTTCTTTCTTTTCTCTTTAGAAGATTTTATTTTTACATTTGAGAGAGAGAGAGAGAGGGGGCACAATCAGGGGGAGCAACAGAGGGAGAGTGAGAAGCAGGCTCCCCACTGAGCAGGGAGCCCTGTGTGGGAAGCTTGATCCCCAGACTCGGGGATCATGACCTGCGCTACAGCCAGAGACTTAACTTACTGAGCCTCCCAGGTGTCCCCAGTTGCACGATTCTTACCATCCATGAAAAAAAAATCAGTCTAATTTAACAAAAGAAGTTAAATGTTTCCTAGAAATTATTTCTGAACCATATTTTCCATCGGCATGTTTAGTTCAGTTTCACACATAATGTTTGTTTAAGAACAAATGTTTTTCAACTGGCACTATTATATTCATATTTCCTCACAGAAAGTTTATACAAATTTACAGGATTTTAAACACATTAATTTTTAAATGTGTGGAGCTAAATAAAACTGACAGTGTGGAATGTCAGAGTTAAATTTTTTTTTTTAAAGATTGTATTTATTTATTTATTTGAGAGAGCGTACACATGTGGGATACACAGAGGAAAGGAAGGGGAGGGAATGGGAGAGGGAGAGAATCTTAAGCAGACTCCAGAAGCATGGAGCCCAACAGCCCAGCATGGGACTCAATCTCACAATCCTGGGATCATGATCTGAGCCAAAACCAAGAATCAGTCACTTAACCAACTAAGCCACCCAGGCACCCCTAAAATATTTTTTAAATGGAAGAATGCTTTGCTTAGTGATGAATGATTTACTACTCCATATCAACTGTTTTATATATGAAAACAATACCAATTATAAAAGCAAGTTGGCCCAACCATGCTAATACTGTTCAGGCATTCAAAGTCACCTAAATTCCATGTACTGACCTCACTGGGATCAGACTTTGATGTTCTTGCCTTCAGAAAACTCACTATCCTGTTAAGTCTCCATGCTCATAATCTGTTAAAAATCAAAATGATTTCTGATTCAGGAATCCTAGCCAGCCCCTAGCTAATGCTGGGAACTTGTCCCGCAGCACAATAATGATGCTGATAAGAACATCTAACAGTTCTGCCCACACTGGAATCAGTTATCCCACCCTGTACAGCTGCGGTCTCTTTCTGGGATCACTTCTTTCCAGGGCTCTGACCAAAGCTCACCACCTGACCTCACTTATAGCCCAACTCTCACTTCCAGAGATATTTCTGAAAGGAAACTCTTTGGAATAGTAACTTCATCTAAATTGAACAAAATTCATGTCAAACTTTACTTATGTGCTTGCATAGCCTATTTTAATGCTTTAGGTAAATACTGTAATAAAGCAATAAATGTAAAAACCACACATAATTTGGGCATCCATAATGTCATCAAAAATTGGGTACTGGGCCTAAAGAAAACCTTACTTTTCAAAAATTCCATTTCAGATTCTCTGCCTATACTCACATCTTTATGTGGGTTTTCAGGGCTCCCAACCAACTCCAGTTAGAATGAGCTCACCATACCTTTGTTTTTTCATGGTTTGAAACCTTATACCTTATCCAGCCTTGAACTCCATTTCGTGACCTACCCTTCATCTATTATCCATCCATCCATCAATCCATCCATCCATCAAATGCTGTCACCTACACGTGCCAGAAGCATTGCCCCACACAAGGATTTGAGTAACAGCAGTTATTTGGGAGGTGCAAAAGACACTGGTAAGTGAGTAGTGAAGTGAGACAGGGAAAGAGAGTTAGCTAATTTAAAAAAAAAAAAAAAGCATTATGGAGTCAACCAATGCTTCTGATAACCAGCACCCCCGAGTGCATAAGGGAGTATGGGCATTTATATACTAATTCCTATCAGTGATTAATTGAAGGCTATTTCCTCTCTAACATTTTAGGCAGAAGCACAGGTAGGCAAAATCAGCTTCCAGAAGCCAAAGAAGTCTTCAGGCAAAGAAATGCAAATGCTGGCAGTTGAAGGCCTGCCAAGTGTGTGATAGTATAGCAGAGGGGACATGGGTGCTGCACTGATGGCTTCAGCTGCAGGTGGTACAGAAAGAAAGTCCTTATTCACTTTGGATTGATAGGATCCAAATAGAGAAGAGAGAGAAAGTAAAAGGACCTAAATAAATACAAAATGTGAACTGCTAAGCTGGAAGCCTAAGGGAGCTGAAATGCAGATGGGGAAGCTTACTAACATTCATTAATTAAGAAAAGACTCACTGAGGAGCTGACATTGTGACCTGAAAGGGTAAAGAGAAGCCAGTCATAGAGGAGCCCCCAAGTGCCATTCAGTTAGAAGAAACAGAATGAGCAGAGGCTCTACAGGTGAAAAGGTTTGGCC